GTTGCACAGCATATATTTGACGACCGCTTTTTTTTAATTATAATTGTAGTAAACTCCTTACCGGTATATCAGCTTATTCTTACTTATCAAACAATCATTTGATTTATGTAATTTATGCTAAATATATTAGTATATTTAAAAACTGGCATGGAATCAAATGAATAAATATATCGTGATAAAAACCCCATTAGACTACAGAATTTTTTGTGGTTGTTTTTCACAGTACAGTAGGCAGTACTTGACGATTTCATAAAATTAAGATTAGTTATATTACATTAGGATTTGTGTATTTGTTTCTGAAATTTGTGCAAAGATACACCAGGGTTATCTGAGCTAAGCGCCACTAATTTTCAACATAAAAGTAGCTAGTCAACAGCATTCACTGCTTAAGGTACTTAAATAGCACATACATGGCCCCAAAGTGCGGAGTGCGATTTTGTGGCAACTGGACTCGAGCCATAATAGCTTGACTTCATAGCCCCGCCCTGCCTGTTACATTAGAAAAAATAAATAAATGCTCTTTCCCCATGAACACAAGTGCTATGGTTTTCATAACCAGCGTCAACGTAAGGGATCGATGTAAATATTGTTACGTCTCCGTTTGTTAATTAACTTTCCGTAACTTCGTTCCGACGAAACTTTAGCGACACAAGTCCTTACTTGATAAAACTGGTTTATTCTTTCTGAATATAACTTTACGATACACTTATTTTCAACAGTCGCTCTATAACAAACGTATATATATTATTTAGGTTTGACCAAATTCAATTACAGAAAATTACGTCGAGTAATAATTGAAATACGATTAAACTAGAAAATAGTGTTCCATTCACTTGTGTTTCATGTATCCAGTAACAATACTTTTATTATTTTTTTAAATCTAGCTCTGACTGAACTCTAGTTAATATATGTGAAAAAAATGAGTAGAAAGCCATTTATTAACCTTTTCTCAACATCTAAATACGCGTTTGGGTGGATGAATAAGTTAAAATCCTTTCATTAATGTTCATCGTTTCCTGACCTTGTGCAGATGTATTTTTATGATTTTATTAGAAGCTTCTTTGGTGGAGGGCAATGATCCTTCTTCAATTTTATCTGTCGATTATTAACCAATCAGATGTTTACTTAAGAGTATAGTGGGTTGGTAATATTATTCTAGAACAATTTTGAATATACAAATCAGGAAGTCACGTGACAACCACAGCCGATATCAATTCGCAGTGAAATGGCATGTATCATAAACTCAGAGGTACATTTTGACATTGTTTTCGGTAAGTAGATAGTGTGATTTCATCGAATATTGATCGCTTTTGGGAAGAGTATGTAAAAGCCCCTTTCCGATGTAAAATATTTACGCATTCAGATCAACATTTTGGTTCAGATTGGGAATTCAGAATCTCCAAGATGGGGATCTCCACTGTACTTAATAGCATTTGAAAAAAAAATAAACTTTTGGAACCAAGACAATCTAGGAAGAGACCTGCAACAAATCATACCTCAGCCATAGTAAGCAAAGTACGGTATTTTGTAACAGGTGAGAATGCCCGAGTACAAATGTCAGTGGTAAAGGTTGTGCACGTGCCCCAGGTAACAGTACACAGCATAATCAAGAAGGATGTCTGTCTGAAAATGAGACCATCAGGTTATGGGTGTACCACGATAAGGCTTCTAGTCATACCTCAACAGCTGAGGTTTGAAACGGGAATTAATGGTATTCCATACAAAGTCACGTCGGTCAAATCGTCTGAAGCAGTGCTTACGGATTTCTATGCGCTTGGACTGTTGAAACCTCTCTACTTGTATACTAAAATGGAGTATGAACAGCCTTCAGAGAGGAGTGTTATACTTTGGACATGACAGTTTACGACAGAGCCTTTTCTAACGGAAACTACAACGCAGGGCTGTTGTCGGATAGAGCTTGACCTAACGTGATGACATGGAATGTAACAATATGGTGAAGTCCAAAATCGTTTTAATATAACGTACTCAACCCCTCTTTGTATGAAGCAGCTTTAATGTTCGACGTTGATTAAGTCAAATTAAACTTATGTTTAGCAGATTGGAGCTAGGTGTGTCCTAGCACGTTTATACAATTTTGAGAAATACGTTTTGTATTTACTGTTTATTTCATTTTCTTTTTAGATCCATTCATCTCGAAACCAAACTTATGAAATATTTTGGCATCGTTTAAGTGTTACGTTTAATTTACAAAGTTAATTAGGAAACAGCTGGACAATATATGTTACCATGTTTTAATGTAAATATTTGCTTCTTTAGCCTAGCAGATTTATTTTGCACCATGATTTTTTAATACAGTCTAACTACACTAGCTGTTGAAATTTTGGTATTCAAACAATTAGGAAATTTTTACCTGACTACTGTATCTGGCAAAACTGAAAAAGTGAATGTGAATAGAACGAAATTTAACCAAACATAATGAAAGAAAAACACAACAAAAATGTCTCTCGTTTCTCTATAAAGCGTCGAAACAGTTTCAAGTATAATTCTTGGTGAGAAAAAGTGCAACACTTGTGTTTGTTTATGTGTTATGAATTTCGTACAAAGCTACACGAGTGCTATCTGTGATAGCCGTCCCTAATTTAGCAGTGTAAGAATAGAGGGAAGGCAGCTAGTCATCACCACCCACCGCCAACTCTTGGACTACTCTTTTACCAACGAATAGTGGATTGACCGTCACATTATAACGCCCCCACGGCTGAAAGGGCGAGCATGTTTGGTGGAGGGGGATTCGAACCCGCGACACTAGCCACCTGGCCATGCCGAGCCAGGCAACACTTGTGATTAAGCTAGTCTTTGGAGGGAAGTTCTGAGAAGGACTATTGTGGTGGTAGTGGCCAGGATTCGATTTTGGGTCTTCTTGATATATACAGTGAAGCTATCAATTCATCTAACATGTCTAGCAGATGATTCTTGGTAAATAATGCATTATAGCCAGTAAATTGATGTATTTAATGGTAAATATTTATTAAATTTCAAGCCAATCTTTCGGCTGGTTATAAACCTGAAATATGTTTTTGATAATTTTGTTGTAGTTTAAGTAGCAGTTTAAAAAACTTTGACGTTTTAAAGAAATTTGTTTGTTTGAAGTTAAACACAATTCTACACAATGAGCTACAGTAGCAGTTTAAAAAACTTTGACGTTTTAAAGAAATTTGTTTGTTTGAAGTTAAACACAATTCTACACAATGAGCTATCTGTGCTCTGCTCACTACGGGTATCGAAATCCGGTTTCTCGCGTTGTAAGTCCGCAGACATACCGCAGGGCCACTGGGGGCGTTTTAAAGAAATGTTGATTAAAATTAGGACAATATGCATATCTCGTGATTTTGTTGAAATGCTCTTTTTAATGACTGACGGGAGGCGGCCTTGGCCAACTTAACTTTGATGTAAGTCCCAATTTTCTGATGACTGACGGGAGGCGGCCTAGGCCAACTTAATTTTGATTCTAGTCCCAATTATCTGTCAGAAAAACACATATCACATCAGTTGGAGTTCGAAAACATCCCATTTCCTTTTGTTTTTTTCTATCTTTGCGAGTGTGTAAAATAGCTTGTACTTCAAAACAAACAAGCTGCAACATAGCAATAGAACAAATTTTATTAGAACAAAAGTTATTATATTACAAAATCATTTTATATATATATTGAAATCCCATTTCTCAACTATATTGATAAATTATTTCATATTTTCTCGGACACTGATGTACTCCTACATTTCAAATTCGAGTTGTTATTAACTTTAAATAAAAATATAGGTTGTAGAATCAAAAGGAAATAGAATTTTACAAGTTTTTCTATTCGAACAGCAGTGGATACAGATAGCAGATCCACAGATGACTGGACTAAATTCATCATCTTACTGAGTAAATTATAACTATAGACTTCTGTTGAAGATTCAGAAAAGCATTAAGTAGTTTCCTGATTGAAGATAATTAAACACAGCTTCTGAATTATCATAAATTATTAAACTAAGCCTCGAATTTGTACAATAACCATCTTGATGCTAAGATAATATTCTAAGTATTCGGTAAAGTACTTTCAGAATACGTCCACACTTTAAGAGACATCATGGAAACAAGAAAGCTATTCAAAAAGACACAATGCCACAAAATGGCTTTGAATGCTTCTGAGTATAATTTCAATATCGGTTAAATTTTCTAACACTGTAAATATATAAATGTATATTAGAATTCATTATATATATATATATATATCGAATAACAATTTCTTAGAATAGTACAATATACCGTTTTTATTGTACTGGAAATATGTGATTAGAATAATTTATATTTTCTTTAGACTATGATTATTTTAAATACTAAATTAACATCACAAGTAATACTGATGTTAAAAGTGGTTTCAGCCTCTCGCAAATTATTTGTAAGTTAGTTTATATCATATATTTTGTAAAGTTATAAAGAATAAAGTTGTCTTATAAAATTGTCTCAAAATAAGATGTTTTGTCTCCTTTCTTATTCAATTTTAGGTATCTCAAATGAGACCAGAAAAGTGACATTTAAATATATATATATATACATATATAATCAGCCAGCTCAACAAACTGCTACAAGAAATATTAAAATGTAATTAAAGATAAAAACAATGTAGATAGTGAGAAAATAAACAATACGTATAAGCTGCGTATTAGAAAGCGTTAATTTTTCAGAATAAAAATATGAGTTTTGTTTCAAAATAGTACTAATCATGCTTTAATACGAGTATTTCCAAAAGGCCTTCCTTACTTTGAGTGCAGTATAGGACTCCTATGTAAAAATCACATACCATCTATGAACAAAATAATGAAACACCTTAAATTTTGGATCAAGGCATGTTTGCGTCATTCGTCAACCATATTTTACAAAAAAAACTTATTAATACTTACTTTATATTTAAACCTAACACTTCTTCGTAATGTTATTTACTTAATTTTTGTTTTCATGTGTGACTAGAGATGTGCTGATTTTTTTTCTATTATTATTATGACTTTCATATAGAATCCGGAAATCAATTAACGTTTTGAGCTTCATAAAGCACTTATCAATCTGAAAACAGATCTGGAGAGAGAAAAAGTGACACTTTGAACTTTATAAATAATCTGCTAAGATAATAAATGATCAGGAGAGAGAAAGTGACACTCTGATCTTCGCAAAGAATCTAATTATCTAAAACATATCTAGTAGTAGAAAGTGACACTCTGAGTTTCAAAAAGAAATTTTCAGTATTAAAATGGATCTGGAGAAAGAAAATGACGCACTGAGATAAACTTAAAGACAAAGTATCTGCCAACATAACTGGAGCGAAAATGACACCTTGGGATCAAGAACGCTTAAACTTATTATGATAAATCTAAAATAATGATTTTACACCTTAGTTTTATACTGATAACCTTTTTTTATTCGAATCTTAAAATATTGAAATATAAATATTGTTTACACTTATACATTGAAGCAGATTTTTCAGTCGTATTATATATATATATATATAACCTCTCTGAGTTGTGAGAAAGAAGCAGCAAATTTTAAAATATAATCTAGAAAAATCCCCCATTTCAAACATAAAGAACGTGTGTAGGCTGAAATGATAGTATTGATACAATAAAATAATTTTCATGTTATTATTATGCAAATTTAGTAATACGAAACTTGGTTTATTTTCAGTCTTGAAATATTATATCAGATATTTTCCCAGGGAGGTCGCTGTTTTATTTAAACTAATTTCATAATTGTATTCTTAGGTTAACAAATATAACACTTGGTAATCATATTCCGAAGCGCTAAGGCGCCCCAGTCAAGACAGTAGAGGTTCTTTCTTCACATCAAATTAAGATTTAAGTTGGGAAATTAAAAAATTTCCTAAAAAGTGAAGTAAGTATATGCATGTTCCGTTATTCCACTCCTGAGAGTGAAAAGAGAAGTCTATTGAGCCTAATTCACGTGGACGACGCTGCTGATAAAATTACTTGTCTTAGCTGGAACACGTACGATGCCAGTGACCACCACAGTTTTCTAGCCAGCCTAGACCACTTGAAAAGAACTCGAAGGAACCCACACAATATTAGTAGACGGAAAAGAAACCCTAAGTAGTATACCCTATAGAAAGAAAAACGAGTCGACTACTGATACAAACGTAAAAATTGTCATTTAACAACATGATTATAGATTGTTGTATTTATCAACAGAACATATTAGCTGTTTTTAATAGAAATTATATATTAAACTGAATTAATTATGATTTCACGACCATAAATCAGAGTAATGTAGGATATTCCTAGCTATTGGTATTTACAGATATTAACAGTTGTAATGTTACTTCAGTGATTCTAACAGTTATGAAAATCAATACTTGAACAATAATGGATGTCATTAGGTCTCTGTAACTGTAGTGTTAAGGATATTTTTATTACTGGGTATACTTGGAATCTTTACTTACCTCCTGAGTTTTTTTCTTGCTGCTGGAAGAGTCGAGTCATCTTCTTTTAATACATATCTTCTCACTCCCAGAACGTAGTTTTCCATATACTCGTGCATATCAATTTTACGAATATCAAGGTCAAATATCTACGTAAAAGTACGAACCGTTAAAATCTCCAAAACAAAAAAAAATTAAAGACTATAGTTTTTAAATAGAAAATAAAGATTAGGAATAAATTCTCACATTTTCATTGCTACGTCGTTCATGATTATTTTTGTCATAAAAACTAATTAAATAATGAAACAAACGAGTTTACTGCTGTCTGGCAACACGCGCTACCTCTAATGACCAGTTTGATAAAATATAGCCTAAAAATATAAATTATATAAAAAAATCAGATGACTACAATTAAAACAATTAATACAATTTAGTATGAAAGATTACCCTTTCAAAATATCTGATAATCTAACACTGCTGTTCTATATTTTTGAAACTTAATAAAAATTGTTATTAGAAAATTAATTTTCGAATAGTTTCTGATTCTTTGGTTATAGTTAATATAAAACAACCAAGTGTTTGCCTATTCAAACCACACAGTACATTTGTGATCACATCGTTAAAAACATTGTTTTGGTACAGACAAATATCACTAAAACGATACACACAGATAACAGTTATAAATCTACATTAGACACAGAAAGAGAAGCTACATTTATTTAGGCATATTTTTGAGTTAATAACCGCCAGGGCCCGGCATGGCCAGGTGGTTAAGGCACTCGACTCGCGGGTTCGAATCCCTGTCACACCAAACATGCTCGCCCTTTCAGCCGTGGGGGCGTTATAATGTGACGATCAATCCCACTATTCGTTGGTAAAAGAGTAGCCCAAGAGTTGGCGGTGGGTGGTGATGATTAGCTGCCTTCCCTCTAGTCTTACACTCCTAAATTAGGGACGGCTAGCGCAGATAGCCCTCGTGTAGCTTTGCGCGAAATTCAAAAAACAAACAAACAAAAAACAAACAATAACCGCCATGAATTCAGGGTTTATTTAAACGTGCAGTAGACCCATACTTGTGCAGTACTAAAATTTATAATAAAAACTCCAATGTCATATAAAGAAACAAGAAGCCAATGCATGACCATGATACTGAAAAGCAAAAGTACCTTTATTTATTGTTTATATGACAAGAAGTATATTTTTAATTTTACATATGCTGATTAGAACTTTGTTTTAAAATTTTTGTCAAATACTAAGATGGTTAAAACTTAAAACACTGTGTTTATATGACAAGAAATATATTTTTAGTCTTACATATGTTGAATAGTACTTTAGTTTACATTTTTTGTCAAATACTACAATACTACATGAGCTTACATAGTAAAGGATGGTTAAAAGATTTAAAACACTCGTAAATGCAAAACTATGCTGAATTGTACTTTAATCTACATTTTATGTCAAACACTACATAGTAAAAGATGGCTAAAACAGTAAAACTTTCATAAATTCAAGATTTGCAAATAATGCCAAGTTGTTTCTAGCATATTGTTGCGTCAGCGAGGTCACGTGACTAGTGTCACGCCACCTATTTTCTAGAAATATCTTGTTCCTTCGTGAATGCCCTAGCATTTACTAGATATATGTTTGTCTGGTATATATATATAAGACGCTCACAACGTGACGGGAAAATGTGTGTAGGTAGTGAGTAATTGAACTGCAGTCAGAAAGTATTGTTGAAGTTAACGTTCGTTGTTAATATATATATATTACTTCTCTTGTTTCGAATGAATTGTATGTTATTCAAATGGTTTATGGCTTTTCTAATTGTGAATATATTTGACAAAGAAACCCGAATATCTTTTTGAAACCTCTGAAAGAAAAACTTCAGCTTCCCTAGGGAGACTGGAATGAAATGATAAACAAATGTTTCATTTCTTCAGCGAAGCTTCCTAGGTTGGTAAATCAAAGAGTATAGAATACACGTTG